AGAGGGACAGATGGACAGAGGGACAGAGGGACAGAGGGACAGACGGACAGGGGGACAGGGGACAGAGGGACAGAGGGACAGAGGGACAGGGGGACAGAGGGACAGAGGGACAGAGGGACAAGGGGACAGGGGGACAGGGGACAGAGGGACAGAGGGACAGAGGGACAGAGGGACAGAGGGACAGAGGGACAAGGGGACAGGGGGACAGGGGACAGAGGGACAGAGGGACAGGGGGACAGAGGGACAAGGGACAGAGGGACAGGGGACAGGGGACAGAGGGACAGGGGACAGAGGGACAGAGGGACAGAGGGACAGGGGACAGAGGGACAGTGGGACAGGGGGACAGAGGGACAGGGGGACAGAAGATGGGGTGGGGGGACCCTGGGTGAGGAGGAGGAGGAGGAGGAGGTGATGAAGAACAGGAGGAGGAAAAGGAGGAGGAGGAAGGGGAGAAGAAGAGGAAGACGAGGAAGAAGAGGAGGAAGAGGAGGAGGAGGAGGAGGAAGAAGAGGAGGAGAAAGAGGAAGAGGAGGATGAGGAGTAAAAGGAGGAGGAGGAAGAGGAGAAGAAGGAGGAGGAGGATGAGGAAGAGGAGGATGAGGAGGAAGAGCAGGTGGTGGCCCTGTCCCTGGGGTCACATGGTGGGGGTGACACTGGGGGGACACCCAGGAGAGGAGGAGGAGGAGAAGCTGAGGAAGAGGAGGAGGAGGAAGAGGAGGAGGAAGAGGAGGAGGAGGAGGAGGAGAGGAGGAAGAGGAGGAGGAGGAGGAGGAGGAGGAGGAGGAAGAGGAGGGAGGAAGAGCTGCCCATCCCTGCACCCCCAGACCCCAATTCTGCTGTTGTGGTGGGACCCCAAAATGACAACGCCGACGATGACGATCACAACAATGACAGTGACAATGAGGATGAGGATGATGATGAAGATTATGACGATGACAATGTGACCGTGCCCCCACCCTCGGAGCCCAGTTCTGCTGAGGTGGTGGAACCCCCAAAGTGACGGTGACAATGACGATGACAACGGTGATGAAGATGACGATAGCAATGACGATGATAATGACGATGATGATGACAATGACGACGATGACAATGATGATGAAGATGACGATAACCATGACAATGATGACAATGACGATGAAGATGACGATGACAATGACCACGACACTCTCACACCTCAGTTTGGCTGTGGTGGGACTCCCAAAATGACGATGACAATGACGATGAAGATGACGATGACAATGACGATGAAGATGACGATGACAATGACGATGATGATGACGACGATGATGATGATGATGAGGATGATGATGATGGTGATGATGATGGCGATGACAATGACGATGATGATGACGACGATGATGATGATGATGAGGATGATGATGATGGTGATGATGATGGCGATGACAATGACGATGATGATGACGACGATGATGATGATGATGAGGATGATGATGATGGTGATGATGATGGCGATGACAATGACGATGATGATGACGACGATGATGATGATGATGAGGATGATGATGATGGTGATGATGATGGCGATGACAATGACGATGATGATGACGACGATGATGATGATGATGAGGATGATGATGATGGTGATGATGATGGCGATGACAATGACGATGATGATGACGACGATGATGATGATGATGAGGATGATGATGATGGTGATGATGATGGCGATGACAATGACGATGAAGATGACGATGACGATGACCGCGACACTCTCACACTCCAGTTTGGCTGTGGTGGGAATCCCAAAATGACAACGATGATGATGATGACGACGATGACGATGACCGCGACACTCTCACACTCCAGTTTGGCTGTGGTGGGACTCCCAAAATGACAACGGTGACAGCAACGATGATGATGATGACGATGACCATGACAATGATGATGATGATGGTGATGATGATGAAGACAAGTACGATGATGATGAAGATGACAATGATGACAGCAATGAAGACAACGACGTCGGTGACCATGACCATGACGATGATGATGACGATGAAGATGACAATGGCCATGACGACGACGATGATGACGGTGATTTGATGACAAAGCCAATGATGAGGAAGATGACCACCACAACGATGATGATGATGACCATGACAATGATGTAGAAGATGGTGACCATCACAATGACGATGATGATGACGATGATGATGACGATGATGATGACAATGACCATGACATGATGACAATGATGATGATGACCTTGACCATGACAATGTCAATGGTGATGACCATGACAATGACGATGAAGATGACAATGATGATGAAGATGACCACCGTGATGACAATGACGATGAAGATGACAATGACAATGACGATGAAAATGATGACCATCACAATAATGACCATCACAATGATGATGATGATGACAATGATGAAGATGACAATGACCATGACATGATGACAATGAGAATGATGATGATGACCATGACCATGACAATGATGATGAAGATGACAATGACGATGACGATGAAATGATGATGACCATCACGATGATGATGACGATGACAATGATGACCATGACCATGACCATGACTGTGACCATGATGGTGAAAATGATGACCATGGCCATGACAATGGCGATGACCATGACAATGATAATGATGATGACGATGACCATGACAATGGCGATGACCATGACATTGATGACCATGACCATGACAATGACCATGACCAATGACCATGATCATGATGATCATGACCAATGACCATGGCGATGATGACCATGACCATGACCATGATGGTGAAAATGATGATGACCAAGACCATGACAATGATGATGACCATGACAATGACGACGATGGTGAAAATGACCATGACCATGACCATGACCATGACAATGATAATGACCATGACCACGACCATGATAATGACCATGACAATGACCATGACCATGATGAGATGACCATGACCATGACAATTACCTTGGCCATGACAATGACCATGATGATGATGACCATGACCATGATCGTGACAATTACCATGACAATGACAATGACCATGACAATGACCATGACCATGATGATGACCATGACCATAACAATGGCCATGACCATGATGATGATGATGATGACCATGACCATGACAACGACAATGATAATGACCATGACAACGACTATGATAATTACCATGACAATGACGATGATCATGACAATAACCATGACCATGATGATGATGACCATGACCATAACAATGACCATGACAATGACCACGACCATGATAATGACCATGACAATGACCATGACCATGATGATGATGACCATGACCATGATCGTGACAATTACCATGACAATGACGATGACCATGACAATGACCATGACCATGATGATGATGATGACCATGACCATGACCATGACAACGACAATGATAATGACCATGACAATGACCATGACAATGACGATGATCATGACAATAACCATGACCATGATGATGATGACCATGACCATAACAATGACCATGACCATGACAACGACCATGATAATGACCATGACAATGACCATGACCATGATGAGATGACCATGACCACGACAATGACCATGATGATGATGACCATGACCACGACAATGACAATGACAATGACAATGCCCATAACCATGATGATGATGATGACCATAACAATGACCATGACCACGACAATGACAATGATAATGACCATGACAACGACCATGACCATGACCATGACCATGACCAAATGACCATGACCACCACCGCCCCCCTCACACCGCCGTGCCCTCGCTGCCCTCCTCGGCGGTGGCCACGCTGCGCGCCCGGCTGTCCCCGGCCACGCTGGTGGGGTCATCGCTGAGCACCCCCTTGAGCAGCGCCCTCCACGAGCGCCTCACCTTGCCCAGGCCGCGCCCCATCACCAGGTAGATGATGGGATTGACGCAGCCGTTGACGTAGGCCAACCCGGCCACCGCGGGGTCGGCAGCCTGGGCGCCGCGGAACGCCGCCGAGCCCGGCGTGCCGGCCGCCAGCACCAGCCCCACCACGTGGTAGGGCAACCAACAGACGAAGAAGCTGACGATGACCACCAGCACCGTCCTGGTGGCCCTCTGCGACCTGCCCAGCCCCCGCGCCCGCACGCGGCTCAAGAGGCGCCCGTAGCAGCCGGAGATGACCGCGAAGGGCCCCAGGAAGCCGCAGAGGAAGCGCACGACGGCGACGGCCAGCTCGGTGCCGCGCTGGTGCGCGCGCACGGCGCCGTAGGACAGCACGCAGGTGGCCTTGGCCGAGAAGGGGTCGAGGCGCACGGCGCGGAAGACGAAGGAGGGCACGGTCAGCAGCGCGGCCGCCGCCCAGGCGCCGGCGCAGGCCGCCGCGGCCAAGGCGGGCGTGCGGCGGTTGTGGCACCACACGGGGCGCGTGACCAGCGCGCAGCGGTCGGCGCTGATGGCCGTCAGCAGCAGCACGCTGGAGAACATGGCCAGCACGGTCAGCGAGGGCAGCACCTTGCAGGCCGCGGCGCCCAGCGGCCAGTGGTGGTCGGTGGTCAGCGGCACGGCCAGGAAGGGCAGCGCCAGGCAGCTCAGCAGGTCGGCCAAGGCCAGGTGGGAGAACCAGACGCCGTTGACCGTGCGGCGGAGCTCGGCCGCCGTCGGGGGGGGAGGAAGGGCGGTCAGTGGTGGGTCAAGGTGGGTTCTTCACCTGGCCAGGTGGTCCTGAGGCTGCCAAATTGGGTTCTTCCCCTGGCCAGGTGATCCAGGAACTTCTAAAGTAACCCCTGACCCACCCCAAGGTGGGTTCTTCACCTGGCCAGGTGATCCTGAAGACCCCAAATTGGGTTCTTCACCTGGCCAGGTGATCCAGGAACTTCTTAAAGGTGACCAAAGGTGATCAGGGGTGGGTCAAGGTGGGTTCTCCACCTGTTCAGGTGGTCCTGAAGACCCCAAGGTGGTCCTGCACCTGCCCAGGTGGTCAAGGACCTCCTAAAAGACCCCCACCGCCACCTCACCAGGTGACCAAGGTGCTTTGGGGGTTCTCCAGCCCCATTTTTGAGGTCCCCAGCCCCATTTTTGGGGTCTCCAGCTCAAAAGTTGGGGTTTCCAGCTCCATTTTAGGGTTCCTAGCCCCATTTTTGGGGTCTCCAACCCCATTTTTGAGGTCCCCAACCCCATTTTAGGGTTCCTAGCCCCATTTTTGGGGTCTCCAACCCCATTTTTGAGGTCCCCAACCCCATTTTAGGGTTCCTAGCCCCATTTTTGGGGTCTCCAACCCCATTTTTGAGGTCCCCAACCCCATTTTAGGGTTCCTAGCCCCATTTTTGGGGTCCCCAGCCCCATTTTTGAGATCCCCAGCCCCATCTGGGGTCCCCAACCCCATTTTTGGGGTCCCCAGCCCCATTTTGGGGGTCCCCAGTCCCATTTTTGAGGCCCCCAACCCCATTTTTGGGGTCTCCAGCTCCAATTTTAGATTCCCAACTCCATTTTTTGGGTCTCCAGCCCCGTTTTTGGGGTCCCCAACCCCATTTTTGGGGTCTCCAGCTCCAGTTTTGGATTCCCAACTCCATTTTTGGGGTCCCCGGCCCCATTTTTGAGGTCCCCAACCCCATTTAATCCCCAACCCCCAAAATCCCAAACCCCCCAGGTGAGTTTTTGGGGTCCCCAGGTGAGTTTTAGGGTCCCTCAAATGATTTTGGGGTCCCTCAGGTGAATTTTGAAGCCCCCCAGGTGATTTTGGGGTCTCCCAGGTGAATTTTTGGGGTCCCCCAGGTGAGTTTTGAGGGCCCCCCCAGGTGATTTTGGGGTTCCCAGATGAGTTTTGGGATCCTCAGGTGAGTTTTGGGGCCCCCGATGTGATTTTGGGACCCTCCAGGTGAATTTTTGGGGTCTCCCAGGTGAATTTTTGGTCCCCGAGGTGAATTTTTGGGGTCCCCAGGTGATTTTGGGATCCCCCAGGTGAATTTTTGGGACTCTCCAGGCGAGTTTTTGGGCCCCCAGGTGAGTCTGAGGTCCCCCAGGTGAATTTTTGGGACCCTCCAGGTGAATTTTTGGGACCCCCCCAGGTGAGTCTGGGGTCCCCCAGGTGAATTTTTGGGGTCCCCAAGGTGATTTTGGCGTCCCCCAGGTGAATTTTTGATTCCCCGGGTGAATTTTTGGGACTCTCCAGGTGAATTTTTGGGATCCCTCAGCTGATTTTGGGGTTCCCCAGGTGAGTTTTTGGCCCCCCAGGTTAATTTTTGGGACTCCCCAGGTGAGTTTTTGTCACCCCAGGTGAGTCTGAGGTCCCCCAGGTGAATTTTTGGGACCCTCCAGGTGAATTTTGGGATCCCCCAGGTGAATTTTTGGGATCCCCCAGGTGAATTTTTGGGACCCTTCAGGTGAATTTTTGGGACCCCCAGGTGATTTTGGGATCCCCCAGGTGAATTTTTGAGACTCTCCAGGTGAGTTTTTTGCCCCCCAGATGAGCTGGGGTCCTCCAGGTGAATTTTTGGGGTTCCCAGGTGAGGTTTGAGGTCCCCCAGGTGAATTTTTGGGGTTCCCAGGTGAGGTTTGAGGTCCCCCAGGTGAATTTTTGGGGTTCCCAGGTGAGGTTTGAGGTCCCCCAGGTGAATTTTTGGGGTTCCCAGGTGAGGTTTGAGGTCCCCCAGGTGAATTTTTGGGGTTCCCAGGTGATGGGGGTTTTGGGGTTTTTTTTGGGGGTTTTTTTTTTTTTTTTTTGGGGGGGGGATTTTGGGTTTTTGAGTGAATTTTGGGGTTTTTTTGGGGTGAATTGTTGGTTTTTTGGGGGGTGAATTTTGGGATTTTTGGGGGTTTTGGGGGATTTTGGGATTTTTGGGGTGAATTTTGGGGTTTTGGGGTCAGCGTGGGGGAGGGGAGCTCTTACGGAAACGAACCCTCTGGAAATCCGAGATCTCCACCCCCGGCCCTGCTGAACCAGTAACAAGCCCCACCAGTGACCCCCCCCAGTGCCTCCCAGTACAGACCAGTAACCCCCAA